ATATTATTTTGAAAACAAGTGGAGTGAGTGCTGTTAATTGATTTTTGAATTTATCGCAAACAAGTCACAGACACGTACTGTAGAAGAATCCTAAGCCCAACAACAACAGTATATATTTATACTGTTAAGAAGTATAAGTAAAAGCCTTTAATTGACAACTGGTGAACATAACTTAGTTTCTGACAACAATCTTAATTTTCTTTAAGCTGGTAAAAGTACAGTACATTATGTAATTTATGTCAAAAAGCAACTATTGTAATACTGAGAATTAAATCATGGCAAACAGGTGATGCATTACATTCTTAGTTTTTCTTTTCAAAGAGTTTTTTACCTCCATAAAAAAGTTATGTATGTTATGTTTTTTACGTCTGAAGTGGTAATGAGCATGGAATAGCATATTTCAATTTCTGAATTATAAAAAAAATTCTTCCACAAGCTGATTTTTGCAATTTTTTTCTTTATGAAACAAAACACATAATACTTATAATTGTTTTTTTAAATTCTCACCTTTACAAGTTCTGGATCAAGAGCAGTTTCACCAGTCAGAAGGTTGTGGGTTCGTTGATAACGAAGTTTCTTGAACTTGTTCAGACCTACAGTGAAAAAGATTTTAATATTACTCTTTACTGTGTTCGAGAGTAACTTTGCATCCACTTTTTAACAATTCACACACACAATTGTAGTCACTATGCTTTATTTGGAATATTTTTTTGCTGAGAAATAAAAAACCCGATCATGTTGCTTAAATATTACAATGAAAAACACTTATTCCAATAAATATTTGAAAAATAAAAATAAAGTTACAACACATATTCAAAATATATTCCAATAATGTATACATAATTGATTTTATCTTAAAACTAAATAGCTTTAGTCCTCTTACTATGTTTCTTGATAATGTTATCTAAGTTTACATCTTTTAAGTCTTTTATATACTTGCATTATCTTAATCACTTATGTGGTGTATATTTTATGAATTATATGTAATTTTAAAATATGATTTGCATCCAAATACCAACTTGCAACAAAGATTCCTCATTTGACATTTTGGGCAAATGCAAATGTCTGTGAGCAATATGTAATAGATGTCTTTTCTTTGTTTTCAGCAATGCGATAACTTGCTCTTCTTAAAAGAATAAAACATTTCTCTGCTATTGCTTTGAAATTAGAAAACTTAATCTTGAAGATTAAAAAAAAAAAAAACTGTAGAAATCAATTAATATATACAAATTCTATTTAAGTTCTATATAAGTTAATTAATGAAGCGGTTGTTCCAGTGGTCTACTAACAACACTGCATGCACTCAAAATGCATATGAAAACGTAACATGACCTCTAGCAAATCCTATAACTATAGTTTTTTCCTACACAGAGAAAAGGTTAATGGTATTCCAGTAATAGCTAATGAATTCTGTAATAAAATTTTATGAATGAAAAGTACTATTTACCATACGTAATAATATATGTTACCTGATTCAAAATGTACAAAAAGTATATTAAATAACACTACACTTCTATATTTTATAACCCTTTGTAATATGGACTACAAGTAATGGCAAACAAAATAATTAAACTGATAAAAATATAAAAGAATAAATCTGTTCTATGCTCTACTTTGAGTTATTTTAATAATTCAAAATAGTACACTTGGATAAGAACAGATCATATATATATGACACATACAGAGAGTTCAATACATTCTATTGAAATGACTTGATTATACACATCAGCAAGTCATAGTATAAACACAATATATATATACACCTGGAAAAAAGTTAAGCACCCCCAAATATTTTTCAGGATTGCTTA